GCGGCCTCTGGCGGAGGAGGGTGATGGTAAGGTGGAGGCCGGGTTCCCGGGCGTCTCCGAAGCCAGGTGGCGGGTCACTCCTGTGCGCCGCTGTCTGCGCGTCTTTGAATTCCGGACGCAGCTCCGCCACCTCGGGACCCACAGGCTCGCTCTCGGCCCGGGTCTCCGCTGCTCCCAGCCCAGTCCGAGAACGGCCGGCACGTCGTCGCCCCGGTGCTCCCGGCCTCGGCGCCCCTGATTCTGTGTCCTCCTAGCAAACCCCTCTCCAGACGAGCGACCACTTTTAGAAGATGCTGGCGCTCCCCTCACCAATGTCTTTCTGTTTACTTACTTTTAACTAGCTCTTTGTAGGGCAATAAAACACGGTTATATTCTGATATACAACAAAGGTAAGCCTAGTACTTGAACTGACATGTCATCATGACACCAAAAATAGTAAAAGTGTCAGGCCCTTCCTAAATACACTCCCTGAGACAGCCTGACATTTATGACATTCACTTCCTTGCCTTTCTTTACCGTTTTACCACCTATTTTTGAAAAGTTTATTACAAAGGTGGCATCGCACAGCAATGGAGAAAAAAAATGCCCCTTTCAATGCAGGTTCTATAACAATAGGATATTCCTTATGAAAAAAAATACAAAACAAGACCTCTGTCTCGCTTATCTACCAAATTCAATTCCAGTTGAAGACTTGACGGTGAAATAGCATACTAAACTCTAAAACTTTTAGGACATAATATAGGAGACTACTTTCAGAATAGGGAAATATTTGTTACATAAAAAACAGAAAAACACTGGGACCACCAGATAGCTTAATAGACATGTCACTGGACTCCCACATAGTCTACTACAGTTAAGAGTCTGGGATGTGAGGCTGGTGCGTGTGCGTGGTGCCAAAAATCGGGACAGGAGAATGGAGAAGGGATTGTTACATGGCCATTGCCCCTTCTGTCTCTCTCTGTGTCTTTGCCATAAGTGCACACACCCTATAGCAAAAAACTCTTAAAAAAAAAAAAAGAGTTAATTTGAAAACTAAGGGCATTTTGTGTCAGTTGGGAACATTTTAAAGTGACTTCTGTTTTAGATATTATTGGTCAACTGTAGATATCCTAAGTGTAGTGATTTTGTAGTTGTATAGGAAAACATCCTTTTTGTTAAAAATATGGAAGTTGAGGAAAGTTGTTAATCAAATGAGAATATGAGAGCTGGATCAAGGCAGGATCAGCCTACACAATGTAACCTTTAGCCAGGATATAACTCCCAGTGCAAGGAAAACCTCCCCACTCTCTTCACACTTGAACTGCTCTTCAAATGAAGTTTACGAGACAGTGTTGCTGGATGAAATGAAGCAGAAGAGATTCAGAAGCAATCATGGAATATGAAGAAAAGAAATACCCAAGACAGCAGTACTATATTCTACCAAACTTTCAATTTGAAGATTAAAGGCAGGTATTTGGAAAGTAGGATTACAAACTTAGAGAAAAGGGATGCTAAAGGGACCAACAGATGGAGTAATGGTTACATCGCTCAACTCCTGCGTAGTTGGCCACATTCGAGTCTCAGACCCATCAGGTTAAAACTCATGTCGGGTGTGTACCTGTTTGTGCCCAAAATCCTGAGAGGAAAATGGAGAAGGAATTTGGTGTGGCCATCACCCCTGTAGGTGATTTACTGCTTTCTGTCTGTCTCCCTCTGTCTGGCTGGTGAGCGCACGTGCCCTGTAACAAAAATCTCTCTTTAAAAAAATGTCTTCGGTAAAAGTACATGAGTAACTAAAGAAGGGTACTTGCCATGTCTTCATCTATGAAGTGAGAGGTTCAGATTAACCAAGTTCCTAGACCCTTTCTAGTCCTAAAATCCTCATCCTAGGAGCTGGCATTGAAAAATTGGTGGGATTTGGAACATTATGAATGATAACCCCTTCTGGAAGCTACTTTCCTGCCCTTCCAGCCACGGCCCCATCCATGTTTCCCATGGAAGCTGAGATCTGTACCTGTAAGTAAGCTGCTGAGGAGAGAGCACCTGACCTAGCTGGGCCAATAATTCTTCCCCAGGAATTTTAGACTGAAAATGAGAAGAGACACCTTTCCTCTGAGTGATGGGGACTGAATATGTGCAAATTCTGGAGCCAGTGGTAACTGAATTGCAATATGTTAAAAAAAAAAAAAAAGCGCCAATTAGATACTAGAGGTGAGATGGAGAAAGCTACCTAGGTTTTCTAAAGTGCTCCAGATCCTGGTCCCAGTCTACTGTTAGCATATATCACAGATCCTCAATTCCATGATACCCCAATATCACTAATAATATATCCCTTTGAGACTTAAAGTAGGGCCAGTTGATGTCTGTTATTTGCAACCCCAAAAGTCCTAATACACTGGATTTGGTCAGAGCCCATAGAGGCAAGAGAAAAGGAAACAGAAGATGACACAATGAGGTAGGTCTAGATATAATGGAGGATTTTAAGTACCAGGCTTTGGATTATAAACTAGATTAGTGGCTGTGGAACAGGAGCTGAGGGAAAATCCATTGACATAAAATTACTGAAACTTTAACGAAACATTAGATTGGGGACCAGCAGGTGTCATGGTATTCGAAGTGCTGGATTCCCACGTGGCTGACCACCTTTCAAGTCTTGACCTGGTGGCTTGCCTTCTCTTTCTCTTTCTGGTGAGCACATATACCCTATAGCAAATTTAAAAGTAATAAAAATAAATAAATCTTTAAAAATATTATTAGACTGAAAAATATACAAAATCACCATTTCTTGCCCTGGTCATCAGCTTTCACAGTATAAGCAATGTTAACTAATTAATGCTTATTCTTTAATGCTTATTAGAAAGTGGTTTCCCTCCTATGTTCTTTCTCCCTCCATGTACTCATTATAACTTGCTAACATGATCACAATGTAAAATGCTGTGTCAGGTAATCCATGGTAGACTGCCATATTAAGTACCCTGATTGAATTGTTGGTTCTTCATCTCCAAGGGGTTAGTTAAGATTAAATTTGCTAAGTGGATCCTTCTCTTTAAAAGGGGCTCCCCTTCATCAGACAGTTGCAGCCTCAGAAGTCTGAAACTAGAGCAGTTGGTTGAAAGATGTCTCCTCCAGCTGAGACTTTGGTGGGCTTGGTTAGTAAAGAAGATGCAGATTCTTCCTGGCCCCCAGGCTGGTGAGTGTGGCCGTTTCTGAGGGATGCAGCTCAGCTGGTAGTTTTAAGACATGTTGTTGGGACAAGCTCATGTTTCTCTGATGGTCGACAGTGCTACTGGTCTAGGACCTGCTTCACCAGATATGGTTCTTATGGTTTCGTATCTTGCTGGTGGGAAACAAATAGTCTAACCTCTATGAAGTTCAGTTTACCAATATCCATCCTTCAGATTACCCTCTAGTACAAAAATTCCAGCTCTAGGAATTTACTCTACATATAAACCTACATGTGTAAGAAATGAAAATGTGCAGTATTATAAAACCAAAATATTGGAAATAACCTAAGTCTATCCATAGCGAATTGGCTGAATAAAGTACATCCATACCATGGAATATTATGCAGTTATGAAAGAGAACAAGTAAAGTGAGAATAATATAATCAATATGATATATTGATATATGTGATATAAACAATAAATGGGGCCAGCAGATGGCGTGGTGGTTAAGGTGCTGGACATTCCCACATGGCCAACCACGGTTCAAGTCCTAGATCTGGTGGCTTACTTCCTCACTTTCTCTCTCTCTCTCTCTGGTCAAATTAAAATAAATGAATGAATAAATAAAATTAAATAATTTTTTTTTAAAGTGCAGTCATGTTCACATAGGTTGCCATTTCTGCTTAAAAAGAAAAACTGCGGGACCAGTGGTTAGTGTAGTGGCTATGTCACTGGACTCCCATGTAGTTGACTGCGGGTCGAGTCCCAGACCCAGTGGCTTAAACTCACACCGGGTGCATGTGCATGCATGCCCAAGATCCCGAGGGGAGAATGGAGGAGAAGGGACTGCGGGATGGCCATCCCCCCTGGGGGGTGATTTCTCGCTTTCTGTCTTTCTGGCGCGCGCATACAAAAAAGAAAAACTGTACATCTGTATTCTTTCGGATGTAAACAGAAAAATCTGCACAGGTACACCAAAAAATAGTAGTTATAAACAATGATTGAGTCTAGGTAGAATTTGGTGTGGAAAGTGAAGGAAGGAGGCTTTTCATACTATATAGTTGCCTTTGCCTTCTAAACTTCAGCAGGTGGTGTGGTGGTTAAGGTTCTGGACTCCCACATGGTCAGCTGTGGTTCAAATCCCTGACCTGGTGGCTTGCTTTCTCATTTTCCCTCTCTCTGTCTCTGTTGTGCCTTATAGCGAAACTTTAAAGAAAACTTTCTCCATTTAAAAAAAAAAAATTGTGCAGCTCCATAGCCTGATGGTTAAGTGAACCAGACCTCACATGACTGAACGTGACTCAAGCACTGGTGGCCTGGTGGCTTGAAAAACATGCCAGGTATGTGTGTGTGGGGGGGAGGTGTGCATAAATTTCCAGGATGGAGAAGTGAGGGAGAAGGGATTGCCACATGACTGACCTACTGGGGGGATCTTTTCTCTTTCTCCAAATATCTCTGGCCAGTACACATGCCCAATGGCAATAAATAAATAAAATTTTATTTTAAAAAATGCGGGGCCCAGCAGGTGGCACAGTGATTAAGGCACTGGATTCCCACATGGCTGACTACAGTTCAAGTCCTGGACCCAATGGCTTGAAAATCACACCTGCTCTGTGTGCGCGTGCCCAAAAATCCCAAGAGGAGAATGGATAAGAAGGAATTTGCAGCATGGATATCCCCTTCCCAGGGTAATTTCTCACTTTCTCCAGCAAGCACATGTGCCCTATGGCAAAAACATTTTTTTAAAAATGGGGTGGGGTAGTATTTTAAACAGTAGTTCCCAAACACTGGTCTGTTCATCATTGAATGCCATGAAGAATAATTTATTATTCCATCATGTAATCAGAAAAAAAGCGTTGTAAATTTTTAATTATGCTGGATTTATTTAATTTGAAGGACCAGATTTTCTTATGTACTTTGTATGGAGGTGTTAGTAGACCGTAGTTATCAACACAGTGTTTATTTATTTACACAATGGGCAAAACTAAAAGTTGGCATCCTATCAATTCGTTTATTTTGAAGCATAGAGTCACTGATTTAGACTTGGCTTTTGCTATCATGTCAAATACCTGTTCTTACACATTATTTCGGAAGGCATTCCTCCTGTGTATTTCATGGTGTCGACTGAGTGATGAATTGTAGCTGAAAGCTTTTCCACATTCATTACATTCATAAGGTTTTTCTCCACTGTGATGTCTCTGATGTTTCTTAAAGGATGAATCATGTCTGTAGGCTTTTCCACAGCGGTTGCATTCATATGCTTTCACTCCTGTGTGAACAGTTTTATGGTTGCTAAGGTGTATCCTCTGCCTAAAGGCTTTCCCACATTCCTTGCATTTGTAGGGTCTCTCCCCAGTGTGGATCCTCTGATGATGTGTTAAATACGCTCTGTGACTAAAGGTCTTACAACATGCAGTGCATGCATAGGGCTTCTCCCCAGTATGAATTCTTATATGTTCACTAAGATGTCTGATCTGTCGAAAGGTTTTCCCACATTCATTGCAAGTGAATGGTTTCTCTCCAGAATGAGTCCTCAAATGTTGAATCAAGCTAATGTTTTGGCTGAAAGCTTTCTGGCATTTATCACATACATAGGGTTTCTCCCCAGTATGGATTCTATGGTGCTGATTAAGTGATGAGCGATGTCTAAAGGCTTTTCCACATTCCTCACATTCAAAGGGCTTCTCACCAGTATGGATTCTCTGATGTGTACTAAGGGATGCACTTTGACTAAAGGCTCTTCCACATTCCTTACACCGGAAAGGTTTCTCACCAGTATGAATTCTCATGTGTTCAGTAAGATGAATAGGCTGTTTGAAGATTTTTTCACATATATTACATTCATAGGTTTTTGTTCTTATGTAACTTGCTGGATGATTAGCAGCACCTAATTTGTACTTGTTCTTCTTTCCAGGTGTATCACATTTGTGGTGCCTCTGTTCTGTGATAACATTTGAACTCCCAATGATATTTTCTCCAAATTTGTTAGTTTCTTGGCCTTTCCTCTTATGGGTCAAGAGGACTTGTTTCATCTCTCTTCCATAGGTTTTCTGGTGCCCTTCTACAGTATCATCATATTTGGAGACTTTTCTCAATGTGGAATAAATGATATCATCCCTCACGAACCTTTCTATCATGGTGCCATGATATAACTGTTCCTGGGAAACACCATTCTCTGTAGTTGACTCACTGGTTTTGGTTTTACTCTTCCAGTCTAAAAGAAATGAAAAAAATGCAAATACTCCATATTCACTGTGCTTTGAAAAATCAATTACCATAGTGGTTATGGAATAGAGACTTAGGCTATAATACACATATGAGATTTTTATTATATTTAGATATGGGTGGGCTGGTTCTGAACTAATGTGTTCCTTAAGGAAAGCCAGATCCCACATGGTGACCACAGTTGGAATTCCCAGCCTGGTCAGCCTAAAAAACACTGGGCTTCAATGGATAGAGGACAGGAGGAAGGGAGTCATGATGTGACCAGACTTTGTGAAAGGTACTCATCTCTCTCTCACATTCCCCCCCACCCCAGGAAGGGTGCTTTCTCATTTTCCCTCTCTCTGTCTTTGTTGAGCACATGTGCCCTATAACCAAAAATCAAAACAAAACAAAACAAAACAAACAAACAAAAAAAACCTATATATGTTTTAGGGATATTTGTATGTAATAAATGTATGAAGGCATATGAGAATGATAATATTTAAACTCAGAAGAGTGGTTATTTTGAAAGATGGAAGAAAAACATCAGGACTTTAACTCTGTTTTTTAGTTTCTTTTTTAATTTCCTTCTTTTTAGTTTGCCATAGGGTGCAGGTGCTCACCAGAGAGAGAAAAACTGAGAAAACACGTGCCATGGGGCGTGGTCATGCTGCAATTCCTTCTCCATTTTCCCTTCTTTTTAGGAGTGTGGGCACATGCGTACATGTACCCGGCATGCCTCCCATGCTGCTAGGTCCAGGATTTGAACCATGCAGTCAGCCATGTAGGATCCAGCTGTAGGGTATATGCACTCACTGGACAAAGAGAGACAGAGAGAGACACAGTGAGAAAGCACCCCCCAGGGTGGATGGCCATGACTCAATCCCCTCTTCTTGGGATTTTGGGCAGATATACACGTACCTGGTGTGTTTTTCAAGCCATCAGGTCCAGACTCAAACTGCACTATCAACCATGTGGGATTCAGCTGCCCCAAGCACAACACCACTAGCTTGTTCTGTTTTATTTCTTAATCTAGGTATAAGCTATGCAGAAATTTATTATAATATTCTCTATACCTTTCTGAATGTCTAAATTACTGCATAATAAAAGCAACGTTTAAAGAGATTGCTAAAGACCACTGGATGTGGTGAGAAGGAATCTTGTAATTTCTCTTGCTAGGGTTTTCATGAAGTATCTGTTAGAAAATCTAAGAAACATGAGATAAAGAGAAAATGAAAATTGATGCTGGAATTATAAAAGGTGACAAAAAGTGGAAATAGTGCAAGAGAGGAAATTAAAGATTTACATAATGAAATGGGAGTTGAAAAGAGATCTGTTTTGTAGGAAAGACCATGTCTATCTGACTACTTAGAGAAAAGAGCTTTAGATGTGTGGATCTTAGGATATTGGAGAAAGAGAAAAAATCAAGTTTAATTTTAATGTGGACAAGGCTTCTCTTCCTTCCAGTTCCAGAGATACTCTGGCAAGGGCTTAGTGAGGGAAAGGGGTACAGTGTGAGGAGTGAAATCAGGTTTGGTGCAGGCCCTGTTCAGTGGCCTGAGCCTTCCCCACAGCCTGGGAAGCCTTTGAACACTCTGCCCTAGACATTAAAAGCTACTGGGACCAGCAGATAGTGTAATGGTTATGTCACTGGACTCCCACGTAGTTGACCACGCTCCAAGTCCCAGATCTGGCAGCTTAAAACTCATGCCAGGTGCATATGCACGCATGCCCAAAATCCCGAGAGGAGAATGGAGGAGAAGGGATTGTGGCATGGCCATCCCTCCTGGGGAGTGATTTCTTGCTTTCTGTCTCTGGTGAATGTACACACCCAATAGCAAAACTCTCTAAAAAAAAAAGCTACCACACCCGCCTTAGTCTCACCTGAGCTGGTATCTCCCGGGCTTGGTTTCTCTGTCATCCATGGTGCTTCTCCTTTCTCCAACTGAGAAATCACACTAGGTTTGGAAAGTTGATATCCTGCTTATTGAATAAGAAGTATGAATGTTTATGTTGATTCTAAGAATCACTCCTAGAAGTTTGTTCCAGTCTTCTGTTATTAAGGTCTCTGAAAGTGGAAAGGGGTGTGTCTTTCTATTCTAGCCCTAGGAAGTAAAGCTGTTCCCCAAGAAAGGAGAATCAGATATACCAAGGTTTGGTTTGCAAAGAAGTAAGACACTTCTACTACAAAACCCAGTCCAAGTTTTAAGAAATCTACATCATCAATAATTTAGAAATAATGACTCCCCCATAATGGTAGGTTATTGGAGTATAGATAGCCTATTCTTACCCACTGACACCAGGTTCCCATAGTTCTCCAGCATCACCTCCCGATACAGATTCTGGTGAATAGGGGCCAGCTGCCCCCACTCCTCCTGGGTGAAGTCCACAGATATGTCCTTGAAGGTTAACAGTTCCTAGAATATCAAACACATTCCTTTGCAACCAGAAGTCACCTACCAAAGACCAAAAAGTTCTGACAGTATTTTAAGTTCTGAGAGAGTGTAAACTAGTTTTACCAGGAGCTTCTTAATGTCTGAATCCTCTGGATCTGTTTGGAGATTCTCTGGAGATTATTATAAGTAATTAGATACATACGAGACATGGTTCATATATATCTTAGAAAAACATTTTGTAGGGTAAAGGGAATAAGGAAAGCCATAGTGAGGGTAGGCATGATCTTTTCTGTAGGGTGTTTGGGAAGGCCTCACTAAAAGGGTGATATCTGAACAGAGACATGGCCTTAGTGATGGAGAAAGCCCTGTGGAAATCTGAGTGAAAAGCATTCCAGAAAAGCTGAGAAACAGTAAGGTAAATAGCCTGGCTGGAGGCAGATTAATAAAGTGGAAGGAGACACAATCATGGGTGGAAGCAGGGGGTGAGGTGGGGCAGTAGAAGTCTTTTTCCTCCAGCATTTGTCACGAAAAACCACACATCTTGCTGAGCTTGACTCCTGGAGCCCTGCTGGAGTTTAATCTAAAGATGAATAAAACTGTTTGGAATGCTAATCTAACCTTTTCCTCGCTCGGATATGGAAAAGTAGCAGTTATGGCATGGGGAATGGGCAGTTGTGCTAATTAGAAATAAATACAGATCATGGACTAGAAGGTGGCACAGTCTTCCTTTTGCAATGTTTAAATACTGACAAGGATAACAATGGACTTCTTTTTCTTTAAAAAGAAATATTTATTTCATTTTATTTATTATTATTATTATTATCCAACGTGAGCAGAAAGAGACAGAGGGAGTGAGAAAGCAAGCCTTCAGGTCTGGGACTCAAACCATGGTTGGTCTTGTGGGAGTTCAGCACCTAAACCACCATGCCATCTCCCAGTCCCAACAATTGTCTTCTCATCAGAAACAATACAAGACAAACTAAAAGACAGTAGAAATGTTTGAAGTGCTTAAACAAATCAACTTAGAATTCTGTTCAGTGAAAGTCCTTCAAATAGATAATATAAAGACATGTTGAGATGAACAAAACTGAGAACTTGTTTACCAAAACACCCATACAATGAGAAATGCTAACCAAAGTTCTTTAGACAAAAGGGGAATGATGCCAGATTGAAACTTGGAACTAGAGTCAGCCTTGCAGCATGGCAGTTAAGCACTCTGCAGTGAGGAATCCTGACCCCATGTGGCCGATGGGTACAAATCCTGACCCTGGCAGCTTCAAAAACACATCAAGCATGTGTGTGTCCTGGATCCGGACAGGACGAAGAAAGAGGAAAAATAGATTGCAGCCTGTTGCACATGTGTACTCACTGTCCGATGCACATATACACCCTCTGGCATTTTTTAAAAAAACAACTTTAGGACTAAAGGAAGGAATCAAGAGTGACTGAATTTTAAATCTGTGATAAAATATGACTCATTTTTTCATTAATTTTTTTAAAGTATTACTTGTTTCATTTAGTTATTTAAAAGAAAGTTTTACCAGAGACAGAAAGGAAAGTGAGAAAGCAAGCCACCAGGTCTGAGACGTGAACCATGATTGGCCATGTGGGAGTCCAGCACCTTTATCACCATGCCACCTGCTGGCCCCTCGTTAATTTTTTATAAGACAATTTACTGTTTTTTAAAACATTTATTTATTTATATATCACTTTATTTGCTGTGTTTTCAGGCCGCCAGGCCCAGGACTCGAACCACAATCAGCCATGTGGAATCTACCACCTTAACCATCATGCCACCTGCTGGCCCCTAAGACAATTTATTGTTAAAAGCAAAAATAAAGGCCAGCTAAGTGGTATGGTGGTTAAGGTGGTTAGATCTCATATGACCGACTGAGCAGTTCATGTCTCAGACCCGGTGGCTTGAAAATCTTGCCAGGTACACATACACGTATGCCCCAAATCTCAAGAGAATATAGGAGAAGGTGTGGTCTTCCCCTTTGGGGGGGTGCTTTCTCATTTTCTCACTTTATCTGTCTCTCACTCTTCAGTGAGGACACATGCTCTCTAGCAAAATTTTTTATAAAAAAGCAAAAATATGAACAATGTATTATGGAGTTTATAACATGTAAAGTATAATGTATGATAACAATGACAAAGAATGAGAAAGAGCAAATGGAAATATAAAGAAAAACTCTCATTATATGTGAAGCAGCATAATATTAATTCAAGGCAATGTTGGTTGCCTAGCAACCACTAAAAACGAATCAAAGAAATATAGCTAAAAAGTCATTCGAGGACATACCAAAGAACTACTAAAAAACAAAAAGGCAAGAGAAAAACAAAAAATCCCCAAATATTACAGATAGGAAAAATAGGGCAAGCCAAGTGATATGGTTAAGGCTCTTGGATCCCACATGGACAACACAGTTTGAGTCCCAGACCATATGGCTTCAAAAACATCCCAGGCATGTGTGCTTGCAAGCCCAACATGCCAAGAGGAGAATGGAGAAGAGAGTGCAGCATAGTCAATCTTTCAGTGGGTACTTTCTCACATTCCCTCTTTTCTGGCAAATGCACAAGCCGGAGAGAGGGAGGGAAAGTGAGAAGAGGTAGTGTACATGCCCAATAGCAAATTAAAAAAAATAAAAACGAAAACCAGCAAACGAAAACAAGAATATACATTTAGAGCCAACAATACCAATGATTACTTTAACAGAAATAGACTAAACAAGCAAGACCCAACTGAATTTTAAGAAGGCCGTGCTTTTCATTTATTTATTTATTTTTAGAAATGAAGGTTACTCTTTAAATATCAAGACACAGATAGTTTTGAAATAAAAATATGGAAAAGGCTGTATCATACAAATAATTAAAAGGACACTGGAAGGGCTATATTAAATCAGACAGGATAGACTTCAGGAAGAAGACCATTACTAGGCATAAAAGAGGAACATTTCATAATGATAAGAGGATCAGTTCACCAAGAATACAACAATCCTCAGTGTTTATGCACCTAATAACAGAATTTCAGAATAGAACTAAAGAGAGATACAGACAAAATCACAATAATTCAGGATTTTAACACTCCTCTCAGGAATTGATAATGATAGACAAAAATTCATCAAGGATATCGATCTGAATGACACTATCAACCAATTTACCCTAATGCAATTAACAGAACCATATACCAACAACTATAGACTATACATTCTTTTTGTCATTTTAATTTTTGCCAAAGGGTACATGTACTTACTGAACACTGGAGAGAAAAGGAAAGTGAAAGAGCATGTTTCCTCTGCCCCCTGCTGTATCAGATGGTCAGACCACAATCCCTTCTCTATTTCTCTCTCCTTTCCCCCTCCTTTCAAAATTTTGGTGAGCACACACACACGCCCAGCAAGTCTTTCAAGCCACTGGGTCTCAGACTCAAACTACAGTCAGCCATGTGGGATCCAGCTGCCTTAAACCACCATGCCACCAAAAGGCTCCCAGAACATATTTTTTTTTTTTTTGGGAGAGATTTTTACCACAGGGCACGTGCGCTCACCAGACAGAGAGAGACAGAGACAGAGAGACAGAAAGTGAGAAATCACCCCCCCGGTGATTTCTCCTCCATTCTCCTCTCAGGATCTTGGGCGTGCATGCACATGCACCCGGCATGAGTTTTAAGCCACCGGGTCCAGGACATGAACCGCGGTTGACTACATGGGAGTCCAGAGACATAGCCATTACACTAATTGCTGGTCCCAGAACATACATTCTTTTAAAAACTCCAAGATACTTACTGATTTCCATGCTGTTGTAAGACAGAATACAGACATCTCAGGTACTCCCCACTGGGGGTAGAGCACAGTGAATGGAAAGGGGCATGAGGGAAATTTCTAAGATGGTGGAGATGTTCTATTATCTTGATTTGGTTACACAGTGCATGCATATATAAAAATAGAACCACACAATTTCTTAAGTGTATTTTTCTGTGGGTAAATTAAACCTCAATTTAAAAAAAAAAAATTAATCCTTTCTCAGTGCTAAGAATTCCAGGAATTCTGATCAGTGGAATGTAGAGGTAAGATAACTCTTGAAATAGACTATAACTTCTTCCATGTTACTGTAAATAACTCTGGAATGCATTTCAATCCTAGAAGGCAGAAATTAGCACCTGAGTGTCTTAGATGAGAAAACTGAAAATGTAAACAATTTTTAAAAATTCCCCAGATTACTGAGCAAGAGAGAAAAATCAAATCCTATATAATCTAATTTCAGAATTCAAGTTCTTTTCACATGAAGTTGTTCTGTCCTCTAATATCTTTTTTTAAAAGATTTTCTTTGCCATAGGGTGACTGTATTTACTGAAGGAGAGAGAGAAAGTGAGAAAATACCCACCTCCCCCAGAGGATGGCCACACCGCAATCTCTTTTCTTCCATTCTCCTCTTGCAATTTTGGGCATGCATGCATACACACCTGACATGTTTTTCAAGCTGCCAGAGAATCTAACTGCACAAGCAGCCGTGTGGGATCTAGATCCTTAACCACCACATACCTGACCCAATAACATCTTTCATTAAGGGTTGTCCTATAATTTTCCTGCTGTTTCCCCTACGTTTCCACCAGGTAGTATCCCTGTTTCTGACACCTTGTTTGCGCTGCTCACAGGCACTTGCTTCTGTCCAAGTGTGAACAGTATGTGCACTGTGTGACTTGACTATATTTTCTCTGCTCACTTCTTTCTTGGTTGCGGTGCGTCCTGTTCTCAATACTATATTAAGGGTAACCTCTTGAAATTCAGAGATAGGTATACACCTATGAGAATGTCAGAATTTTCTTCTCACATGTCTTATTTTTAGTATTTTACTGAGGTTTATTTCAGATCCCAAGTGGTCTATTAGTTTTTAGGGGCTAGAATTAGATCATGCATTTTACTTTCTGTACAGAAATTAGCACAATACTAGATCTAGATGTTAGTGAGAACGAGTTACATGGAGAGAGGCCACTGTGAGTAGGGAAGCTGCCACCACTGAAGCCCGGTTTTCTTTACCAGAGTAATTTGGATCGACCTCCCTAGTTGAATTTGTTAGTCTCAACCTCACCATCTCCTACCTCCCCAAAAAAAGGCAGGTTATAACTTCAAAAACCAAGAAGTAATGACAAGAAAGTGACAGGAAACTCCAACCTACCTGGGATTCTGTTACTGGGGTCCCAGGGGTCACCCCATCCTCCAAACTGCCACCATGGGTCACATCAGCATCCGGAGGTAGCAGAGCTGGGGAAGAAAAAGAGGCATGAGGTTTGCATCTCCCCAAGCTCCCCCAATAGAAAAACTGCCTGCAGATGTGGGCTTCTCCATAAATACGTTCATACGGAGGGGCATTTAGAGCCACTTTGGAGCAGCCTGAAGCCTCTTTAATGAGAGGACCTGACACCCAGTGCCAGTGCTGATCCAAAGGCACAGCTCTGTCAGGTCTCTCATTTGTTCAAAAATCTTCAAAGGGGTACCAGCAGCTGGTGTGGTGGTTAAGGTGCTAGACTCCCAAATGGCTAACCACTGTTTGAGTCCCAGACCCAGTTGCTTGAAACTCATGCCAGGCACATGTGCTTGCACGCCCAGAGTCCCAAGAGGAGAATGGAGGAGAGGGGATTGCAGTTTGGCCATCCCCCCGGGGGATGATTTTTCACTTTTTGTCTCTCCAGGGAGCACATACTCTATAGTAAAAACCTCTCTTAAAAAAAAAAAAAAAAAAACCTCAAACATCTGTCTCCCCACCACCAAAAAGAAAAAATCCACACACTTCATTGTGAATTTCAAGACACTCTATAATCCACCAAAAATGTTTTCTCAACACAGGCTACCTCTAAAGTAGCATTCTTTATATGTGGGACTTGAGACACACACCTTAACACTCATATAAAATAGTCCCTGTTCTCTGAGTCATTCTTCAAGGTACCCACTTTTATATCTTTTCCCCAAATATCTGTAACAAACATAAGATATTCTTTAATGTCCAATCCAGTGCCATCTGCTCTGTGAGAATTTCTCAGCTATTATAATAATAGTGATGTTTCCAGCCCCTTGCATTCCAAAACAACTTTTCTTGGACTACCTTTTATTGTTTTGCTCTGGGTATGTGTCTATATACATCAATTAATAATCAATTAATAATTTCGGTACTGGGAACCAGCAGTTAGCGTAATGGCTATGTCGCTGGACACCCACGTAGTCAACCGCGGTTCGCATCCCGGATCTGGTGGCTTAAAACTCACGCCGGGTGCGTGTGTGTGCATGCCCAAGATCCTGAGAGGAGAATGGAGGAGAAGGGATTGCAGCGTGACCATCCTCCCTGGGGGGTGACTTCTCGCTTTCTGTCTCTATGTCTCTGTCTGTCTGGCGAGCGCACGCGCCCTATAGTGAAAAAAAACCTCTCCAAAAAAAAAATAATAATTTCGGTACTACAGGGGATGGCAAGTGGCATCATGGTTAAGGTGCTGGTCTCCCACATAGGACCATGGTTTGAGTCCTAGGCCTGGTGGCTTAATTTCTCACTTTCTCTCTCTCTCTATCGTCAAGTTAAATAATAACAATGAATAAAATTAAATAATTTTTTAAAAGTCAGCACTACAGACAATTCATTTTTCTCTTTCTTTCTTTCTTTTCTTTTCTTTTTTTTTTTTTTTTTTGAGAGATTTTTGCTATATGGCGCACATGCTCCCCGGAAAGAGATAGAGGAACAGAAAGTGAGCAATTACCCCCTGGGGGGATGGTCATGCTGCAATCTCTTCTCCTCTGTTCTCTCAGGACCTTGGGCATGCACGCACATGTGCCCGACGTGAGTTTCAAGTCACCAGATCTGGGACTTAAACCACAGTCAACTATGTGGGAGTCCAGCTGTGTAACCACTACACCATCTGCTGGTCCCTAGGCAGTTCATTTTTCTATCAAGATGCTTAGCCAAAGTTCTGCCTGATACAGCCAGGGCACAATAAATACTGGCTGAATTTGAAGTGTTAGAGATAAGAGTTAAGACACCTGAATTTTTCCATCCATCTATCTATTCCTACCAGACCACTTAAATAAGATGTGACCTTGAGCATGACTCCAACAAAACCCCCATGGTTCACAGTAAAATGAGAGTAATAAGGCATGACATTCCTGCCTCCCAGTTAAAGATAAAAAGAAAAAAATCATACTTGTGAAAAATATTGGTTTGGGGCTAAAGTGCAGGAAAACCCTTGGAGGACTTAAGCGGGCAGAAACTTTCACCCCTTCTGTGCGTGAATCACATCCCCTTACTTGGGAACCACTGGCAGGGGAAACGGTGCACTCTGTCTTCCTGTTGCATGCTGTATTTGAGGACAAGAAGCAAGATTAACACAGAACACACGTCAAAGGAGCCCAGTATTTTCTCTCATAGTTATTACATTCCCCAAAATCACAAGTATGAACCCCAAAGATCATCTTTCTGCCAATTTTCTCCCCAAGAAACCACCTCAATGATGTGTACCTATCTTTTTACGCACAAATGAGATCTCTTTCTTCTCCTTCCACCAGTCTACTCTCACCTTCTCCTTCAAAAATTTTAGTCACATCTTCCCAGTGAGGTGCCCCCTCCTTGGCCTTCTTTGGATGGTGCAACTTCACCCAGGTGCTGGCCTCGGCGGGCAGGGTGATCAGGAGCTGCTGGGGCATGATGATGCACGCCTCATTGGTTGTGTCCACTGCTAGTAAGAAAATTGCCAAAACCACTGATGAGAAGTTTCACAGCTGTGTGTCCTCCTCAGACGCTGCCCTTGGGCTTCTGACATGTCCCTGTGGTCCTAGGACCTGAAAAACAGACCTCTCTCTTAAATTAAGCACTGTTTCTTGGGAGGCAGCCATTTGGGTAGTACATGCCTTCTAGGGGAGCTAAGGGCAAAAGAGGAGGGATCCAGAAGTACCGGTCTGTTAGCCAGAACTTCAGAACCAGGGCCAGCTCCACGGTGCTGCACTGCTCTGTGGCTCAGAGTCATATCCAACATGGCCATCTCCTTTCAAATCCCTGCCCAGTCAGCCTCAAATAATGCCCAGCACACATGCCAGTGCCCAAGATCTGGGGCTAGAGGACTGCAGGGAGGGTATGGAGGCAATACCAGACCCTGAGGAGGGTGCTCATCTCTCTCTGTTTCATTCTTTTTTTTTTGAGAGTTTTTTGCTATTGGGTGAGAGTGCTCGCGAGAAAGACAGAGACAGAGAGACAGCGAGAAATTACTCCCCAGAAGGAATGGCCATGCTGCAATCCCTTCTCCTCTATTCTCTTCTCGGGATCTTGGTCATGGATCCGGGACTCGAACTGAGGTCAACTACATGGGAGTCCAGTGACATAGCCATTACGCCAATTGCTGGTCCCTCTCTGTATCATTCTCACCTGCGTACACATGTTCAATCACACACACACACACAAAAACTCCAGAATCTGCAGAAATACATTTAGAACTGTAAATGATCCAAACAAAACAAGGATTTGGCATAAGTGTTCTGGGACACAGCTCCATCCCCCAGTTCCGCACATACACAGTCAGAGAAACAAAAATACCCAAACGGTACACACATGTCAAGACCCTCCTCTGACTTGCCTCCTTGGAAGCTGCCTGCCTCTTCTGCCTAGGTATACACTTGGAAATTAAGAGGTGGGTTTTGAGATCGGACCACCCGAGTTACAACCCTGACACTTGGGCATAAAAGCTCTAAGGCACTTGAACTCGCTGAACTTCAGTTTCCTTTTCTATAAAATGGGGGTGATAATTGTATTTCCAGAATTATGTATTGCTGATTGAGATAATGCCAGGCACACAGCAAGCCCTTAACAAGCATTATTATAAGCCTTCTATTTAATGGTATACCATTATCTTTTTAAGTGATTAAAAAACAATTAGAAATCTCAATGTAATGTTTATTTCAGATGTCTCAACCGAAAGGATTATCACATGGCTGCTTTGGCATGAGCAAGCAGCTACAAACGTGTCCCCTTCCACGCAGATGCCCAGCAGCTGGCAAGTTCATTTAAATCTCACTGGTAAGGTGCATCCTGGTATCCGAAATGTTAAAGCTGGGGAGAAGCGGTACATCCTCAAACGGATAAACACGTACTTGAAATACAAGGAGGGGTATTGCACAGTTGTTTGTAACACGCAAATTTGGGAACCGCCCAAATCCATCATCTCATCCAACACCAGACATCTCGCATGCCTCCACCATGACCCGGTCTGGTGTATCTGGGGACCCAAGAACAGCCCTAGCTCCGTGGAGAGGGAGCCGGTCCCACGTTTTGAAGTTTGTGGGGAAGGGAAGGGAAGGCAATGTAACGTGTGCATCCCAGAGACTGCGGCTTGAGCAAAAGACCTTCCAGCTGAATGTGTAGTCGTATTACAAAGTGCATAAACTTAGCACCCTCGTGCGGGGACAGCTACCGAATGAGGAGCTCGTTCAGACGATGCCCCCCTTCTCACAACGCTCCAGGTGCGCCCCCTCGGACTTGGAGACCGCAGATCCAGCACACGCCTCCTACTCACCCGGACGGAGACCGGCGGAGGCGCGAGCACGTCGGCTCTGAGCGGCAGCGTCCCTGTCGAGGGTGGTAACGGACTGCTCCTTCCCAGCCTTTCACAGACAGACCGCGTCTCCACTGAACAAGATCTCCAAAACACAACCCACTCTCCGAAACACGTCCAGCGTCCACGGAGGCGTCCTTCGTACGTCCAGAGGACCATCAGCCTCCGGACTGGATAAGGGTCTTTTCCAAACGCCTATCGAAGGCTCGCTCGGGGAGGGTGGGCTTCCCGGGCGCATCCACAGGAGCCGAGCTTCGGGGACCGGAGTGGGAAGAGCGCCCTGAACTAGCTTCTCGCATTCCCCGCAGGATGCACCTCGCCCGCTGCAGCTCCAACGCCCCGGCAGAGCAAGCCGGGTCCCGGCCTA